GTTCACTGATTTGTTGCTACAGTGTATAATGCTTTCCTTTGGTCCTTAAGCTATTTGTAAGATTGTACTGCAAGCTATTTGTAAATTGTACAGGTGCGCATGCATATTGTTAACAAGTAAGGCTCTCCTAATAGTCGAGCTTTTCATGAATATGTTAAACTTTGCACGATTCTTAGGCCATCTGAAAAAGTGTCTTAGTTCCCAGCTCCAGGTACTAGACTTTTACCAACTTTTATACATGTATGAATCGATTTAAGGTTACTGTATCACTATCAATTGGTTATTTTAATGATTATTTTTATAGCAAAAATTTGCAACCTTTTTTGGTTACAATGACCGCTTATTAAAATATTTTATAAAAAAAAACACCATTTTCACATTAAGTGATCATTGAAATAGTTTTCATTATAAGAAACTATTTGTTCTCGGATTTAAAGGTCCTTGTCCCTATTTTATAGTTACTAGCTGGGATGTCAAATCTCACATTTATCTTCGTTTTTTTTTTTTAATAATGTGGTCATTTTGTAGAAATATTCTTTGTTTCACTAATCTTTAAAAGCAGTTTTTTGTCTCCATGTGGTTGCAGGTACAGTAAGCTTAGTATGTGCTTGGCCAACATTTTTATTTTTTTTTAAGTTGATAGGCTGAGCAAAAAAAAAATTTTTTTTAGATCGAAGTTCTTGATCCCGGGTTACAAGGGGATATACACTTTTCGTATATTTCCTTTGTATAAGGACGGTCGGGTATACGATAAGAATACTTTCTGGGTCGAAATGCATATACACGACTCTCACACCCATCTCAGCCCAGGCCCCAAAATTATACAACCAGTAGAAAATTTGTGGCAAATTAAAAAAAAATAAATAGAACTAGCATGCATTTAATACGTGTGTACGAGCATACCAAGCCACCCGCGAAAAGGTGTTTAAGGAGACTGAAAGTGTGTATGTGTGTTGGCACCCTCACTTTTCTGTGTTAACATTGTTACGCAATAAGCACACACTTATGCGCACTTGCTGGTAAAGGAATAAGCAAGGAGATTGATTTTGGTAGAATACATACAAATTTTTTTACAAATGTTTCAACAAACTACTTCTTGCGCTTTTATTATTTGTTTCTCGTTTTTATTAACCAAATAAAATATTTCATACTTAATAATCATCACTTTTGATAAACCATTCGAATTCTCATTAGGTTGAAAAAATAAAAACTAATGCTTTCTGGCTGATGGGTTCTTAAGTCTTTCATACATGACAAATGTACACAAAGGACATGTACCACCGTTACCCACGATCAAAAAGACATATTTAACTTGCATATATATACAAACCTTATATTTCACAATAAACATGAGATCTCTACATACATCCAAGAACTTTGCTCTTATTGGGGGACTCTGAGTCCCACATGCTGGTTTTTGGATCGGCCGAGACTTGATCAAAATTTTGTCTTTGTTTTGATAAACCTTAAAGTTTCTTGACACAAACAAGATCAATCTTAAATGTATTTTGTGACCACGTCAAGATTTAATCAAAGATTCTGATGAGGCTCAGCCAAAATCAGATCAATGATTATTACTTGGCTCAGAAGGAATTTAACCAAAGTTTTTCTATTGAATCAACTATGATGAAAAAAAATTTTCATCCTTCCTCGGCTAAAATGTAATCAAACTTTGCCTTTGTGATCTGATATAACCTTCAAGTTTCTTCAATCAAACGACATCTGAATTGAATGCTCCTGTAAACTGACCCGGACTTAACCAAAGATTATTATTAAGCATTGCCAAAATCTGACTGAAGTTATTTTATTCGTTCAGCAAATAAATGGCTAATGATTGTAACTAAATTTAGACAAAATTTTAACAAAGTTAAAACATTGGCACTGCTGAGATATAAAAACAAAGATCGTTTTTTGGCTTAGCCGAAATTTGATCAAACTTTTTTTTTGATCTGATAAATTTTTAAACTTTCTTCACTTAGACAAGATCTGATAAGATAGTAATAGTTGACCTAGCCAGGATTCGACCAAAGATTATTATTAGGCTCACATAAAATCTAATAAGAAATCATTATTGGACTTGGCAAAAATTAAAACGAAATATATTTATTAGCTTGGCTACAAGTAAAACTAAATATAATTTATTTGCTCAGCTAAGATTTGGTAAAGCTATTTTTTTTTACTCTGACGTAAGTTTTTAATTTCTTGTCTAAGACGACACTCGACACAAATGTATTTTTGGCCTGGCCCAAATGTGACCAAAGATTATTATGAAGCTTAGCCGAAATCTGAATAAAGATTGTTATTGGGTATGATCACAACTTTAACATAGTTCAAAAATAGGCTCAGCTAAAATAAAAAAGAAGAACTTTTTTTACTTAGCAAAAACTATTATTCTTAATGTATTAGTTTCAACCATCTACGACAATTTTTACGAAGGGAGGGGGATTGAAAGTCAATTTTTCACTTGTTATATATTATTATTATACACTAAACAAATAACTTTGTATTAACGAATTTTTCAAAAGTTAATGTTAAAACATCTTTGGTTTTTAAGTAACACCTTAGTTAGTTTTCTAAATCAGTAGTATACCTTTATTATCATCTTAACCCAAAACTACTAATCCATTCTGAAATGTCTACAACTGGTACACTGACTCAATGATAATTATAAAAGTTATAATTTATCAAGAAATTACAAATTCTTTTGGAATTATTAAATTTTTTAATCGTACAAGTAAGTGAATTTGCTTTTATTCATTTTTGTGTATTGTATCTTGTCGATAAGATGTATCTCATTTTTTGTTAATAAGAAATGAAACAAAAAGATGCAATGCGTGTCCATAACAATTATATTACTCTTAGTCAAGACTTGAAAAAAATGAAGCGTTAGAAATAAAATTGATTCCCTCAACAAATGTGACAAAAAAAACACAAAACTATTTTTCTATAACTTACAGAATTTAAAATTGGCCTGAATTTAGTTAACTACACATCAAATTTAATACGCTTTCAAGAATTGTAATTGTTTAATGGTTGCAGCTTTGTTATATTAAGTTAGAGAAAAAGTTATTTTAGTTCTTATTATGTTTTGCAAAGCAAATTTATTCATACGAATTATCAATTCTTATTAACAATGTATGTACCATTTTGATTTTGAAGACTTTTTACTATTTTTCTGGAAAAAACAATACTTCCATCACTACAGAAATAATGAAACTTCTCGGTAAAAAACTAAATCAAAGGGTTTTCGCAACCCTTTTCTGAAGCCAACTTTACACTACTAAGCGAGCTCTGCAGAGACCAAAACAAATTGTAGTTGAATGAAATATGATCAAGACTATACGGTAAAAGTAATTCAATTTCTTAGCCAAGCTTTCCTTATTTTCTCTGAGTCACTGAGTACATGTGTGGTCCAGTGTTGGTGTGACGGAAGACAACGCTTTTTGAATTGAACAATTGTGGCCATTTTTCTTTATTATCTGCTGAAATCGCATGAGTTGTTAATAGTAAAGAATCTAATTAATTGATTGACGAGGTTTGAGCAGCTTATGACATATTTCTTTTCAATTTGACCAAACACTTAGCATCACCTTCATTAGCGTCAATACAGGATTTATGACCATCTGTGAAGCTTCTCTGGGCTTTGACCTCGATCTTTTTCTCACAGTCTTGTCGTATGTGATTCACTTTTTAATAGTTGTCTCAAAAATGGCTTGATTTAATTTCATAAAAGCAGTGATTTACAAATGAAAATTCAGTCTACTAAATTTTTTTCTGTTAATTAACATGGAACCCAAGGACCAAGCTTTTTTAAATATCAAGCCTTATAAAAATATTTCAAAACGGTTTTATTGTCCATTTTTTGGTTCCATAACTGTGTCATGAGAAAAAATGTGTCAGTCTACCTAAATGTTTTCAAGAATTTCATCAACTTCTTAAGCGATTGGCCGACCAGAGTGAGATTCATCTTACTATGGAAATTTTTGAAACAAAAACAAGCAAACCAATTCGGACAATGCCGTTCACAGAAGCACTTATCACCAGAAATACTACATAATTTTTTATATGTCTGCGCTGCATTTTTTCTTTTTGGGAAGTCTATCTGCTTTATCATTTTTGCCTGAGTACACAAATGGCACTACTTTGATATCTAAATTTTTCTATTGACTGTTCCTTTTAAATGCACTATCGTATGGTTTCATTGAATAAGTATTACTGATCTTATGTGGGCTTGACTTAATCTATTGGAAAAAGCCGAAGCTTTTTCCCCAACTCAATATGATAATGACACTTCGTTTAAAGTGATTTATATAGTCGTTTCATGGTTTTTCTGAGCTATCCACTAGAAAATTAAGCTATGACATCTTAAAATATTCATAAATTTTGTAAAGATTAAATTATAATTAATTTTTTACAGAAAAAACTATTTTCTTTGTGATTCTCAGTCATTTTGATTGTTCTTTTAAGAAAGCTTTCTTTCAAATCTGAGATCCACTTGTTTATTTTTATTATTTATTGCTTTATACATTTTAAAAGTCTTTTACTCTGGAGAAAAAAGAGTGTAACAAAAAATTTATAAATTACTCACTAGAAAAAATAAGTACACTGAGAAAGTTTATCTGATTCCCTACAAGTTTGTGTGGTAAAGATTAACTATTTTACTTACTTAGGGTCTTGAGTGTAACAAAAAACAGACGTTCAAGTTAAATTTTCTTAAACCTTTTTTATTTCATAGTTTTTCATTAAAAAAATGAAAAAAAATTCATGAAAAAAATGTCTTTTCACTTTTTTGCACCTCCTTAAAAGTACTTCCTTACATTGCTTGGTGGCGTATTCTCATTCATTAAAATAAAATTTTTTTTTTTGTTATTTATGAAACAACAAAAACAAGTTTTAGTAAAAAAGAAACCTAAGATATTTTTAAATTTTGTTTATAAATTCAAACGATTAAGGATAGACTACTCATTTATCATTAAACGTCTTAAAAATTATTTTAACTGATGAAACATTTTTATGTTACGTATCCAATTTTTTATTTTTTTTTATTTGCTTTGAATGTCTTTGAATGTATACTTGTCTTATGTTCAAAACTAAATTTTTTCTAATGCAACGTGTGTTGCTTAAAATTTACAAATGAACTCGAAATTTGTTTATTATTAGTAAACAATCATGAAATCTTTTGCTAGAGCTTGTTTTCCTCCTCCTCCTCTTCATTATCATCGTTATTTTCCTCCGAATCTTCTTTATACCCTGGATGTTCTGAAATAGCATAATAATTACCATTGTAAATAACACCTAGTTCTCGTAACATATCCCCCCTTATAATTGCTTTTATTGTCCAATTATAACAATCTTCACTTTCACTTTCCCTGTCAAGCCGTTCAACATCAAGAATTTTGGAACTAAGCCTTTCAAGAATGATGCCTATATCTTTAATACTAAGGTGATGCTTTTGATCAACGGTTAACTGGTCTATAAGTAATAAAAATTTTTCTGAAGTTACTATTTCATCTTCAATAATTGTATTTTCTGTTTCAGATTCTGAACTCTCATTTTGTTCTGAATGTTGGGAATGTACGTGGTGTAAGGTATAAGAACTAGATTGTGAATCTTCTTCAGTTGCAGTATCTCGAAACCGTACGTGTCCTTTTGTTATACCTTGGCGTCTTGTTCCATCGGAAAGAGAGCTTGCTGGTTGTGGAGAAAAAGTTTGTGGGGATTGATAAGTTCCATGTAATTGTGGATCTAGGATTGGAGATGTAGCGACTGACTTATGAACAGCAATACGCCTACCTTCTTCGTGTAAAGCACAGCAATGAAAATCGCATTCTTGGTGAAGTTCATTGTCAATTTTACACTCTGGACTACTATTGCGCACAATGGACTGATAAACACTATTTGAACACTCAGCAGTATGAATATGGATTATGGCATTGTCAAAGGAGTTAGCACCTTGTTTAACAAGATGGCCGTGTTGAGCTGATGAACCGTAGGAACTTTTACTCAGACTGGCAATACTTTTCTCTACTACATCATCATGGTTTATGACAGTTATTTGTGGACTACTGTGATGTGATCTGGGGCCAATAATGTCGGGGTAGACTAACGGTTTGCTGTCATAATTAACTTTATCAAAACTCGTTTGAATTACTAGCGGTGTACACTTGGATGAATCAATATCAACCTTTTTAGTTGGTGAATACCTAGAAGATTGTCCACTCTCAGGAATCTTTGACTGCTGAGTTTGTGTCATTGATGATGATCGTTGATCCCAATGCAATACCACAGTAACTCTACCCTTATTATCCATAATCTTCCATGAAGGCATCTCATCGTGTAACTCCAATGCATGAATTGTCTCACAAACAATTTTAGGAATTGCAGTAATAGCTAGATAAAAAGAAGTATTTAAAAAATAAGTTGTAGTCTTGATTTAAAATTTAAAATTTTTAACGTACCAGCACGTATTACATCAACACCAGCTGGGCCCCATCTTTCACCGTTTCGTAGAAGGAGAAGAATTGTATTATTAGATAATGTTCTATAATAGTCTCCGTCTTCGACTTGGGTTCCATCACATTCTAACACTAGTGAAACAAGCTCATTTGTGGGAATTCCAAGTTTTTCTTTTCCTGTAATATAGTAACAAAGTATTACTCAAACAACTACAAGAATTTATGATTAGTTTTTTGTTTTAACTACAGAGTAACTATAATGAAAAGTTATATCAATTAATGAAACATACTTTTTATTTATAAAAACATTAAAGTAAAAATAAATAAAGTTTAAATGTATAGGTCAAATCCAATTAAACTAAGATGTTTTAAGACTCCCACATTGTTAGCCATGAAATATTCTATATTTTCAATATAAAATGGCCAAAGCATTATGACAATGGCAATTAATGACTTTTTTGGAAAAAAATAAAGAGATACAATTCTTGTCCAGGTTTTAAAGGCTCAGGCTATGATCAATACTTTTATGTGAAAGTTAAGCACATCTGACATTTTCAGCGTACGTTAAAAATAACTGAAAATGATTCTAAGAGTCTTTGTAGATCTAACTAGAAACTTTTACGCAGGCCACTTTTAAATGATTCACTTAAGAACTAATATCTTATGCTACAATATTAGGAGAGGAGATTGCTTATGAAAAGATATTACAGCAAAATTTATCCAAGAAGGCATATGCCTTATAATACCTCATTATCAAAAATATCAGTAATAGTATTAAATATATTACAAACAAGATTTGTCCTAAAATACTTTGTAGCCCTGCTATAGTCAAGATTTATTGTTTAATTTTTAAATTATGTTTCAAGACAAATTTGTATGTGACTAGAACTTCCTCAAAATTAAATTCTTGAGAATATAAACCTCTATGAACCAATACTCAGTTATTACTTCAAGACCAGATGTTAAAAGCGTCTAGTGGCCACCTCACTACTGGTAATGCCAGATTATACCACATAGTAAGTAAGCTCTGATAAAAGTTGTGGATTTATAGTTGGCTGATTATTAGTCACTATATTGTCGTTATTTTAAAATGCCTACTATATCCAAGCATCACAATACTGTAGGATATCTCAGATAAAAAAGTTTTCAGTTAATATAGCAATATGCTTACAAGTAAACGTAAGTATATGGTAACCTAAGTTCATACAGTTACATATGTTACGCTTACAGAATTGCTTACAATATAGTGCTCACATAAAAAATGGACAAGAAATGTAAGATGATTTAAGTGGTGAGAAGCAGAAGGACAAATATTTGCAAAACAAAAAAATGCAATCTTATGCAAAAAAAAATTAAGTAAGCCAAGAAAGGGTTAAAAAGATTATCTCTGTAAATTTGCGTCAAAATGTTCGAAAGGTAACAAACTACAATTTCTGAAACATCGTTGAGTTAAAATTGTTGGTAATAGTTTATGTAGAAGATCAAATAAGATTCTTATTTTTGACTGTCAATTTTAGTTACGGACCGTAAACCACTCAAAAATTTAAGTACATCAAGTTAATTGAACTTAAGTCTTACAGAGTTAGAAGCAGAGAGGAAAATCCAAAATCACTGCGCTAGAAGTTACATCAGCTTGCAGGATAGTAATAAAACAGAAAACCATAAGGATACAAAAAAAATTCCTAATACTGATGTCAAGTATAATTAAGCAAAATAACTAAAATCGCAATCAAAGTTAGGATAAAAAACATATGATGGCTTGTCTATAAGCTACATTATTAATTTAGGGAAGAAGGAGCGTATCTTAAAATATACTGCAATTGATAACGATGGTTAAAAGGATAAAATTATATCTTAGCGTTAACTTTAGAAGTATTGTACCTTTGATAACAATAAGGCTCCTTTAAATCTAAATTCTTAAGATTTTACTTCATGAAAAGTTTTGGTGACACTTTTTTACATTTGCATTTATTTCATGTTAACTGTACCTTTTCCAATGTTTAGAGTATAAAAAGAAAAAAAGATGAAAGAGATTTGAAAGGAATGATGAACTGCAGTAATTACAATGATATTTTGTTTTCTACATAGTTCATAATACGTTAAACTTATATGAACTTTTCGTGTATTGGTTATATGTCATTTTGCAAATAAATATACAAATAAAAATTAAGTGATTCACAAATGCTTTTATAAGACCTTACCTCTATTTAAACATTTAAACATTTACAAGTACAGAAGTTATTGAAAACAGGAAGGAATTGAACTTTTGGTAGAACGTGAAACTTATTGTTTGTATTTACTTAATGCTGTTACGCGGGAAAGTAATTAATCAGGGGTTGCGTCATGAAAATGATAAACACTTTCCACGTTAATAATCATGATTCAAGATATCGCTTTTATAAGGCAAAGTCACACGTGCGTTGCTTTTTTGGCTCGTTGAGTACTTTCTGAAAGCCTCTCTTATGGCTTTTGCCCACCTTCGTCTGGCTAGGGCCTTTTATTATGGAATGAAAGAAAAGAGAGCCTTGACTCTTACCTTTACCCTTGTACATTACCCGCCCAAGGCCGCAACGTCATCATCCTCGATAACGCTGACTCTTGTTTTAATACAGGGTTAAGTTAGTGGACTGGTTCACATTTGTGTGTCTCTCTCTCTTTCTCTTTCTTATTCTCTCTCTCTCCGTGTGTGTGTATAAGTGTGTGCGCGTGTGTTTATTGTATCATAGAGTGTTTTTTGTCTTGTTTGTTCAGCTCAGTATTCAACACTTATTGTTCCATTGCATTTTAGGAAACCACTGTTCTCCTAACATTATTATTTTTGCCCTTTCAATAATTCTGTCTTTTCTTATTGTGTTTTTCATGCATAACATAATTGATTATGCATGCACTTTGTTCAATACTACCATGATGTATGGAATTACAGTGAATTGGGCATCCACTTTATACTACTGTACATTAAGTGTTGTCTTATATACAATGTAATACATTTTAAATTTTACATGGAGTTTTAATTTAGAACTTTGCATACGCTTACGTGTTCATTTATGAATCCATTAAAAAAAAGGGGCCGACAAAAATTCCTTATTATCATGCATAAAAGTAAAAGTAAAACTCTTACTTGTTTTCGTCCTACCTACGGGCTGCCCCTGTTGATACAGTTGAGTGACTCCTGGCACTTATACCTACCTGTTCTTCATGTTAGTTTATTTAACGTATTGAGTCTATTTAACTTTATATACATTCAAATTGACATGTATTAGCTGTTTGTTCATTTATCTGTTATTATTATAAGTGTCACTAAAGATAATTTTTTTAAACATGAATATATATAAGTATAACAGAAAGTTATTGTCACTACGTATTAAAAAAAATTAGAACTGTTACATAGTCTCATTTTATGAACTGCGCTTCTTCGATACAGTCGAGCAACTCCTAGTACTCAGTCTCGATTTTTCATGAATTTAAATAGTATGTCATGTCTAACGGCAGTTCCATCATGCATCTGAGAGTTTGAAGTCACCACATTGCTTGGGGTTAAGCTTTTGGCTTGGTTTGAACTGCTACTAACTATAACGTTCCTACTAGACTCCTTGGTTCCCTGTAATTATTTTACAACACAATAATAGTAGGGACCCCTCATGGAGAAGGCACTTACACGTAAGAAAAAAAGTCCTATTTCTGCAATTACCAGTCCTGCTATTTAACATACAAGCCATTTTAAAATTTAACTGAGTCCATAGGCCTTATTAATAACTTACCCTAGGGGTCTTATTATCAACTAGTGGGTAAATTCTGAAGTATCCCTGATTATGAGTAATCCTAAGTTCCCCAAACAATAAAAGTGTGTTAATACTATTTACGATTCCCTTATCTTTTCACGTTACAGCTGATTCTTCCAAGACCTCATTAATATTTATACAAACCATTCCAAAAAAGGTAGTATTTGTCCTCTTCTCTGCGTTTAAGAAAGCTGCTATCCGTACGTTCATGTTGTGAGCACCACGGCCTGTATTAAGCCATAGAATGCCCGTGCCTTTGAGTGCAGTTATTCTTTGACTTAAGCCTTGGTACTCTTTAAATAATGGCTTTTTTTTTACTGCTGTAAAAGTCCAAGAGTTTGATGCATAAAATGGGACCGAGTACGTATCTCGTTGTACAATGACTTAAAAAAAAAACTCTTTTGATTTGCTAATGCTGTACTATAAGACTTGCTTTGCATGAATAGTGTTGCCTTATATTTTTTTTTGGTTCCATACGTTTGCAGGTAATAAAGTTTCGCAGTTTTTTATAACTTAATACTCCAAGAGCCGTTATTGCCATGTTTAGGTTGATTTTCCTATTAATCGCTATGTTTACGCTTTGAATATATTAAAGTAGAAGTATGAAAACTGCTTAGGCCTTCTTGCTCAATCAGCAGATAAAAAATTCTATATAGATCAGCGTAGTCTTTATGTAGCAGTGAGATGCTTGTGCATTATGTCAGCTGATTGCATTAGAATTGTGAATTTAAATATATTCATTATTTTGAGCTGACTTATTTGAGATCTTATCCCAGAAAAATTAGCTTGGGTCTGAATAGCTTGTCTATTTCTTAGAGTTATTAGAAATCGCCGGCTGTATTGGCCTTGGAAGTACCAACCCTTTTGTACAGAGAGGACTGCATTCATTATAAAGTCACAGTCTGTTATAAACTGCTTCACGCTCTTGTCCAATGTATTTATAACTACAATTGCTAAACTATCTGTTTTCTGTAAGTTTTTTATATTTCCTATCCTCTTTATATTAACTTGCATTTATTTTTCATCCTGTTTATTACAGTAATTACTTTGTCAAAAATTATTTCTGCCTGTGTAGCCAGCAGTTCTGGTAAATTGTGTGTACTATCTTGATTTGAGTTGAGTGCGTCTGTTAAAGGTTCATGATTGTCACTATCTAATGTTCTGAATAAAAATTTTAGAATTTTCCCAGGGCGTCATTACTTTTTTTTGTCGTTGAATATTCCCTGTAGCAAGTTTTTCAATCACATGTAAAACTTCATGGCTTCCATTATTTTATCATTAAATGTTTGTAGTCTATACCTCTGAGCCACTTTAAGCGCTCGTTGCTCGATTTTTTCACAATCGTCTGCATATCAATCTTAATTTGGGTCCGAGCAAGAGGTGAAATAATGTCTTTTT